GGCCTGTGTAGCTGGGATACAGCTGGAAATAACTGCTAACCGTTCTTAAGCGTTACTGTGGTTTAGGACGCCGCACCTTTAATCGCAGTTAAGGGTGACTGAGTTTATACTTAACTGAGGTTAAAGGTGCCCGTACAGCTGGGGTATAGTTGGCAGTCACCGCTAACCACACTTAAGCAGAACTGTGGTTAAGGGCGCCCGTGTAACAAGGGTACAAAAGTTGTGTGGTAACTGTGCACGGTTACGCGTAACTGCGGTTAAATGTTCCCGTGTAACTACGGTATTACTTTATCTGTGGGTGAAACAGGAACTAAGCACAGGCAGGTTGAACTGAACGATGCCTGCACTGCACGAGCGAGCATGCATGGCAGTGATCTTGAAAGCCGGGACTCGTTCTTGTAACGTCTGCTGCGCTCGTACGTAGAGGAGAGATAAAACTTTTTGCACGTGCAGCTAATACTCCTTACAATTATTTCTTGACATTCACAACCTATCAAACACGAGTTAGTTGTATTTTCGTGTTTTTTTTTGTGTTTTTTTTTTGTACGAAATGGGACAGTCGTAAAGAAAAATTACAGGAAAGCGAGCAGCATTCACGATCTTATATCGCAGCCAGAACAAGCGACCACTTGATCTGGAGCAGATTATGTGCTGCGAATGTTTATCATAGCCACGCGGTGGGGTTCGCAAAGCAAAGGGCACGCACTGAGTGTCAGTCAATGCTAGAGTTCGACCATTTTCATAATTGCAGAGATTGGGCAGAGCCAATACACGAATGCATGTTGGTTCATCGATTGTTACGAGCCCAAATCAAACGCTCAAGCAGTGTTCCCACTGTATAAGATTGATGACGACATCCTGGGAATCGTATTGTTAACAACGCCAACAATGTGGTGCCCATAACCTCGTTATCAAGTTTTGTAAATGAGAGGCTGAAAGAGAACGTCCGCTTTTAGCCTTGAAACTACGCGACGAAAATCAAGCTCATTGGTTTGTGGCGTTGCGTGCAAGTATGCTTAAGCTTCAGTTGTGCCAGTAAACTTGTCTAGAGTAAAAAACATTCCTATCCAATACCGTTGCGTAGCCCCTTTAGAGGGGCTTTGCGACGATATTAAGTAGCAATGTATCTCACTTTACACCGGCTTACTGGTACTAGTGGGACCCAGCAATACTTGATAGCGATACCACTGACCAAGAAGCAGACATGTACACGTTACCCAAAAATGGAACTAGATGCTGTCACTCGTTAATCGCTCAAAAAGTAACTAAATACGTTACTCGTTACCGATTCTCAAAAGGGACGCGTTAACTTACCTCAAAGGTAACGAGTTATTTTTTTCGTTACTTTGACGACCAACTACTTTTGTTTCTTGGTTTATTGCTTTCTCTTAAGTAGTAGTTCCACTTAAGCCGTATCTGCATCTCCAAGTTTTTATCAGTTAGGTTTCCCCGCTTCCTTGAGAATACGTACATACATCTCCGGCGACACGGAAGAGTCGTTCTACTGATGCCCTCGAATGTGTCGTTCTGCTGGCGTGCTCGGAGATGTTGTGCTTCAGGAAGAGCTAAAAATATGGGATTCCCATCTCTCTCCTTTGTTCTCTCTGCTTCTAAAGTTCGAAGTTGGCAATGGGTTCTGTGTCTTCCCGTCTTGGCAACCTCCGGGTTTATATTCGATCTGTAGACCTATTTTAGAAGCTCATTTTTACACACACTACAGCGCACTATAGCAAACAACAAATAATAAAAAACAGTTAGCTGTACCAAACAACATCAGAACAACTTCGTTGAGTGCGCCGAGGAAGTGGTGTACTCATTTCCCCTTTAGTGCGGAAAAGTGTGCATAGGGCAGACCGGACGACGCCTTAATGATAGGCTCCGTGAACACAAAAAACACAGCACCAGAGCTAACTCTGGCCATCTAGGCATACATTGCCTTGATTGTGGATGCGACGTTCACCTGCCATCCTGTACAATTTTAGGTAGGAATAGCAACCAATTAACTAGAGAAATTATCAAAGCTGAGCATATCGCCAGGAATTATAAAAACTGTATTAGTACACCATCTTTACACCTGACAGAAAAAGAGAAAAACATTTTAGGCGTCTATACTCTGTTTCACCTTATGATGTACCGCAGGAAAGGCTACAAGCACGAGCTCCTTGCTCTGGGGCACATCTCGACGGCACAAGCTCTCGTGACTTAAGAGCAGCTGCCAACGCTATGCGCTCGCGCTTGTAGCCTTTTCTGCGGTAGAACATGAGGTGAAACGAAGTATAGGAGATCGGTACGCGTGATTCGGGAAATTCGGTAGTGCAAGAGGTAGAAGACAGAAGTATATATAAAAACGAGCTGTTAGTCAGCGCGGTTTGTTTAAATTTTGCTTTATCGTGTGTAAGGAGTGAGTGTTATTTGCTATAGTGCGCTGTAGTGCGTGTAACAATGAGCAACCAACTCTCCCAAGCTGCTACGTTAAAGATATTTTAGAAGGTTCAGCCAACGAACCTTATTGTGTTTGCTGACTGAAGGACATTCCCAGCTGTCGAGTTTTATTTATTTATTTATTTATTTATTTATTGTTTGACTCGCATGTTCAGCGATAAACGTTGCTTATACTCTCCGACGTTTTAGTTGTTTTTCGGGTTGCCCATCTGGCCCTTGTCGCAATAGACGCGTACTCAGGTCAGGGTTGAAACGAGCTAGACTGTTTAAACGGTGCTGTACACGTTAGACTTCTTAAAAGTAAAGAAATACCTTTACTCTGTACTTTGACTTTAAAGAAGCTATGTACGTTACACACTCTTTTTCTAGAAAAAGTAAATAAATGCATTACTCGTTACCGAAAAAAGTAATTAGATGAGAGTAACTCGTTACTAGTAACACGTTACGTTCATATCCTCCAAGAAGCGTTTTCGTCGTGGTGAGAATTCAAGAATAAAAGCGGAAATTTTTTTCTTTCAGTTGCTTCTTTGCAAAATTTAATGACAAAGTTGTGGGGATGAAATTGTTGGCCTTGTGAACAATACGATCTCCAGGGTTTGGTCAACAAGCTTTGTGATCACCGCGGTGATGATATCTAAATGCGGCTCATTCAGTACACACAAGCACTGTGTGAGCTTTCGATTTGGTCTCGTGACAGTCATATACCTCGACATGCATTCGGGTAGTGGCTCGCGCCCAATCGCTCGGATGACGGGAATAACTCAGCCCGCGCGCTGTGCCCTAGCAACCCCAGCGCATGGCTATGTTGAAAAGATTGGCAGCTTATTGTCGGCTTCATATCATCGAAGGGGAAGGGGGGGCAATATTTTTTTTAGAGTTTTCATGCGATTGCCATTGCGCAGAAGAAAAAAAGAAGACGCGTTTTTATAGATTTTAAACGTCGAGCAATAATTCTAAGCCGTCTTTATTGAAACTTGAGGAATGGCACGTTCAGGTGAAACGGAAGCATTTTGCACGATATACCCAAAACTGCAACGGTGTCTGGCTTCTTTTGAGTCTGCTTACTTACCTATGTTAGTTCAGAGGGATAGCCTTCAGTGGCCAATTTGGAAATACGTTTAAGTCTCGTAAATTAGCAAAATATCTTGCGCCAAGAGTGAATGTTTTACGGTGGGCCGCAAATAGAAGTTTGATGGATGATTCTGCAAATTACAAAGTGCGCAAATTGAAACTGCTAATTTTAAACTTTATTTATTAATATGGAAATTGCCGGCCCAACAGTGCCAATATTCTTATGTTCTCTTTGTCATGAGATTAATCTTATTAAGGGGCCCTTAACGACCATAAGTGATTTTTTTTCTTCAAATAACAACAGTTAAGACGATTACTCAGAACAAAACAGTAGATAGGGCCCGGTTGTTTACTTAAAATATGACATTTATTTAGAGAAGCTCATTAGCTAATTGCCGGCTACGCAAAGTAACCCGCGACCCGTCGATTTTTTTTGTGTGTGTCTAATTATAACGATGTTCTTAAAATAGCGAACAGTAAGGCTTAATTGGGGATGGGACTCCTAAAGAGGAATCGTTATTGATTGGATTAATTTATGCTGCCCGTGATTTAAACGAATAGCAGCCTAAATTTGTTGAAAGGGAAAGAGTTTTTTGTTGGCGGAAAGTGAGGCAGAAGTCGCAATCAGAAGTATGTCTAACTTTTCATCGTTGCCGTTGTGGCGGGGGCTGCATTTGCTCTTAACGAAGATGTTAATGAGCGTTAAAGAGGCTGCTATAAATTCTTATCTTTGAATAGATTATTTTATTCGAGTGGCCACCACGAAATCTCGCTTTGTTTAGAAATTGAATAGAATGCTCTCAAAATATGGTGTTTGATAAATTGTCGATTATATTGATACAGAAAAGATATGGTGTGTTTTGTAGACTGTCATGGGCACTGGGTTGTGCTCTGAAAGTGTAATCTTTGTACGCATTTTTTGGCAGTTACAAGAAGATTCTACCAGATGTAAACGTATCCTTACCCAGCGTTTTAATATAAACACGCTTTTAAAGCAAAATCTAGCTATACATGGTTACGCACCACAAAACACCAGCCGCTTTTGCCATGCGAACCTGTAGCGCAGTGCTTAGTGAAAGTCACGTGTACATACGCACAAATTACCCAAAGATATAAAGGCGACACTGGTACAAAGGAGCTCGTGGACAAGGATTTGGAATACGTTTTGGTCACCAACGAAAACATCCTGGATAAATGGGCCCTCAAGCGCCTGGCATTAGTCGTACCACGTATCTTTTCAAACACTGCATTCCGTCATCAAGTTTTCTGGTATAAACAGATCGCTCATCTGCCGACACTATATCGTTAGATATTGGCGCTACACGAGGTCGACGCGTGTTGACCTCGAGTATCGTCAACTCTCAAGAAACGTATCTACAGACTCAACAACTTTGGGGTAGCGTTCTGTTTACAAGTTCAGTCAACCGAGCTCTTCCTGGCAAGAACCCTTTTTTGCTCCCGGCCGTGACGTCTCGTTTCTTTTTCAGGTGTTCGTCAAGTCGGAGCTGAAAGTGGGCCTTGTGTACGTGAAGGAGGGCCAGAGCACCGAAGAGCAGATCCTGAACAACCGCACACACAGCGCCTTATTCGAGGAATTCCTCGGCGTCCTCGGAGAACGCGTACGCCTTAAGGGTAAGCTCGGACTCTCTACGCTCGAGTATAGCCTCCTATATACTGACAAAGCCTGGCAGATGGCCACGAGAAGCGGCCGCCAAAATTTGAAAAGGTGGAGCGGCAGACAACGGACGAGAGGAGAGCCACGTGACTGGCGCCCCGCTGCGGCGAGACGCCGAAACGCAGTTCCTCCGAGCGTACAAGTGTGTTTCGGGTCCTGGCCGCTGCAAAGGCTGTGCGTTGACGTCCAGTTTTTGCAAGAAATGGCTTTTTGATGCTCTGTTTTACCAGATCCTCGCGTTCCTAAACTGCGACCGGGCACTCTATGGCTCCGTCGTCGAACTGCCAGGCGTTGTGAGTATAGAGGAGGCTATGACTTCAGCATCCTTAGTTTCGTGAGGTGTCACGACGTGAGCTTTATTAAGCCGCAGTCATACAGTCATACATAGCGCGCAGTCATACAAGAGACACGGCGTTCGCTTCAAACATGACAGAATTATGAGCGAACACGCCTCACGCATGTTTTAAGCATGTTTTCTGCATACATATCTATTCTTAGAACATGTCTGAATACAGTTTTTGAATAACCAATGTGAGAGGACCATCACACTAGGAAGCAACACGCCTAAACATTTCTGCAGACTGTTTTGGTATGATGTATTAGCAGTGTTACCGCAGCTTAAGAAATGCATGGGCGCATTCTGCCTCGATACACTATAATTCTCTGGCGCTTTTCAACCAACTTGGCCGGTGCCGGCGTATAAAGTTGGCCTGGTCAAAAAAAAAAAAAAAAAAGTACATAACAGATAGTTGTTTTCGCGGGGTCCAGTGTTATTGCATTAGTTTTACGAGGGCTTGCAGCGCCACAAAGCAGTCTGGAATTGTGCCATACGTGGCCGCCGTCGAAATGTACTGAGTGAGCTACTTACGTATGTAAAACTTTATTGCATGCTCAGGTTATTGAACATATAAAATACAATCACAAAAAATGCAAAATCTAACGAAACGGAACTTGGCTCTTTCATATGTTACCGAATCAACCTCCCTCTTTCGCACCCAATGGCAACTTTGACATAGGAATATTAGCGAACGATAGCGAAAGCTCAACACCGCTTCAGAATTAAGAACCGGAAAAACTGGCACTACATTTATGGGAGAGAGAACTATAAATTTGATTAACTAAGAGAGGGCCTTTCCCAATAAATTCGAAACGCAAAAACATTTGCCAACGAGCGTTAATCGATTTCTCTTAAGTTTATTCAAAAACGTCAAACTCCGGTAATTAAAAAAAAAAAAAAAGTACAACATTTGAATGCAACAAAGTGCAATGAAGTGTACGTTCGCTTTCGAGCAGCACTGTACGTAAATGTTCGCACGGCTCGTCGGATTCTGATTGAAGAAACGTGAAGTGGCTCTAAGTGTAGACGTCATCTTGGGATTTGTATCTCGTTAGGTCGTAGGATTGAAGTTGTCTACAGCAAGGCCAAGATGCGTGCGTAACGCGTGGCACCTTGTAATAGTCGTCACAAACTTCCGGGTTGCCACTCATTTCAACAGCAATAGATGCACGGCGCTTTCGTCCAATTAGTGAATCCCTTTGGAGCGAAGCAATTAGAACCGCGTGTTCGGGAGCGCTGGTTGCTTTATTTTGGTACGTAGTATCCTGGTTTAGCTGAGGTGTACTCCACAATACGGAAAGGTTAGTCTTAATTTAGTTACTATGCCCTTTCATATCTAAGCGTCCTGCAAAGTTGAGAAATATTGATTTAGAGTTGAGAGACAATTTTAAGGTATGAAAGGTTAGAAACTGACAACTGGGTGCTAACAAAGACTTTGAAATCTGGGATTGCTATTGCCCAAATACGAATGTTTTGTGAAATCAGCCATGATTTTAGCGCTTGGAGAGATGGCCGAAATCTTAGTGGCAAGCCCGCTTGAACTCGTAATGAAATCTTTCAGACCGCGCGTCCCCGATTGTTTACATTTTACTGCCCGCGCAAAACCTACAGCTTTACCTTTTTTTATGAGCTGGTCTCGCCGATCGACGCTCACGTGTGTTTCCTGCTCTGCTACATCTTGACACGGAACTGTTTCTACTACTTTATGACGCCTCGGGTAATAGAAAGACGATTTTTTTTCTTTACCCTACCGACATTGTCTATCTATCGGCTTTAGCACCGCAGCGCCGTTTAAAAAGACTTTTCAGAGCATTCTAAACTCCAATTTCATTTAAGTTATTACACCATAAGGGCCCCAGTAGGGCATTACATAAGGGGGGGGGGGGTAATATAAAAACACATTTGACACATATAAAATTAATAAAAGGTGGAAAACAACTTATCAAACGCTTTGTTGTCTTCAATGATTATTTGCAGCATTCTCGCGAGAAAACGAATGTCGAGTGCGCTTTGTTGGAAATAAGAGATGATAATTTATTATTACAAGGGATTCCGATAATGCACTCCAATCGTTTATGCACAAAATGATGGGCGAATCTTTAAAAGTGTTAGTTCTTCTGGCAAAAGGCAATTCGAGCTTATGACAATGGTCTTGACGCAGGGAAATATGATTAGCTGGGTGAGAAGAACTCGCGATCAGTCCAAAGTTTTTGAAACATGCCATGAAGAAAGACTGCCTATCTGCAGCGCACCTGTCTTCAAGAAGAAATATTGTGATTGAGTTTTCTTAGTATTGAAATGTTTGAGGTTGAATAGTTGCGAAGAATGAAACGAGTCGCGCGGTCCTGAATTGGTACTAGCGAGTCATAGAGACAAGTCTGACTAGGGATCCAGATGGTAGAGACATATTCCAATTTGGATCTGACGAGAGTGCAGTATAACAGCTATTTAGATTTTGGTGAAGTTTGATAAAGATGGAGCTTTAAGAATCTTAAGGTTTGATTAGCGCTTCAATATTAGTTTTCATGATAGGTCAGAGCTTAAAGGAACACCAACGCATTTAAAACAATAGAGCATTTTCTAGTGCATGTAGAGTAAGTTAATAGAAATAAAAGCTGGAACTCGTGATGCAAAAAAAAAAAAAAAAAAAGATAGACCGAGAATTGGACGGAAATCGGGCCATCCGAAAACCGTTCTACGCAATTTTCGAAAGATAAGCCGCATGATGCATTTTTTCCCGCACAGAATTCTCAATGCTTCAGGTTTTTTTTCGCGATGAGCCACCCAAAAATCGCAAGCTCCGTCCGAAAGATATCTGGCGTTCCAGATCTTTTGAATCGTTTCCAATTTTCGCAATAGGAGAGGAGCCTAGCTGCCGTGTGAATTTCGTTTGATTGCTCAATATATTCGGTCATTTTTCGCATCATGTGTTCCAGCCTTAAGTGATTGAATTACGCCATTTAGAAAACAATAGATCTTTAAATCTAAGGTGATTACTAGACATGAGCCACTCAGCACACAACTTTTCAATCAAGCGTGGGTGGTCTTGCTATGCCTTGCAATCAGCTTCACTGGTAATAGAGCAATAAATAACAACATTGTCGGCAAACAAACGAGCACTGCTTCTAAGTTGGCGACCATTAATATGAATAGTGAAAAGCAATCGGCCTAGTACGGTTCCATGCGGTACTCCTGAAAGAACGTGGAAAAAATAAGAATCTGCCTCACCAAGTCTGGCAGTCTGCGTTCCTGTGGTAAGAAAGTTGTTTATCCAATTATTTAGTAGTACTGAATTAATTTTTAAGCGGATTAGTTTTGCGATAAATCTGCAGTGGGCTGCCCGATCAAAAGCTTTTGTAAAGTCAATAAACACAACGTATCTTTGTGTAAGTGTATTTAGGTTATTATGAATATCAGTAACCAACTCAAAAAGCGGCGTATTGGACCAAAACCTCCTAGACGGCTTTCAAAGCCTGCGCGTCACGTGACATGACGTCACGTCCCGGAGGCCTGCACGGGTGCTGATTGGATGCGAGTGCCGCGTCAGCGTTCGTGTGGGACTCGTTTCCTATCATAGTCCCGCGCGAAGGCTGACGCGGCAGTCGAATCCAATCAGCGCCCGTGCAGACCTCCGGGACGTGACGTCATCTCACGTGACGCGCAGGCTTGAAATCTGTCTAGGAGGTGTTAGTTGGACGCGGCAGTTTCTTTTTTACGAAACTCATGCTGATTACAAAATAAAACATTTTTGGAATCCATAAATTACATAACGTTCGTAAAAATAATATGCTCCAGGAGTTCACAAGACACATTTGTTAAAGAAATAGGTTCATAGAGGCTACATTCTTCACAAGGTCCCCAATTAAGAATAGGAATCACGTCTGCATGTCTCCAGTCAGTGTGAAGCAGCGAGATATCCATAAGGACAGCTCGCTGTGCCGGCGCAGGACAAATCTCCGAACCGTTTCCTCTTTTCTCTAATTGTCATAGAGCTTTCGGCTACGCCATCCGCATTTTGGAGTTCACCTCATTCTAGAGAGAGATGTGTTGGAGCACTACTTGGCTTTCGGAGTATCCAGATATGTCGCGGGCCAAAAAACGGAGCCGGCATGCCAAACATCGTCCAAGTAGCGCAGAGCCGCTCTGCTGCTGCATTATGCATCGCACGCTCGTCTGAACTCTGGGCTTTTGCCCGGGACACAGAGCATTCATTTTTTTACGAACCTTTTGGTTGTAAGATCCACGAACGCGAGCTCCTAACGGCCGATCAGGGACCTCGGGTCGCCTTAGGGCGACCCACTTTTGGCAGCAAATTCTCGTGGGTGCCATTGTCTTCTGCCGTGATTGCACTTTCCTCACTTGGCCTAAACACCTCCTCGCCACTTTTTAGCGCCTATTTGGGGAACTCGCGTTCTATACACCATTGCAGGTTAAGAGAAGCAGGAAGAGTTCTTCCGCAAAGCCTCTAACCCTTTCCACTTTAGTAGAGCCAACGCTGGAGAGGAGCCAGAGAGAGGAGACGAGTCCACTCGGGCCTGCTCTCAGTCGATTGCTCTGCTAAAATAGAAAGAGTGCAGGGTTTTGCCAGAGGAGCTCGTCCCGCTTCTCTTAACCTGCAAC